GTAAATGCTCTCTCTCTGTGTTTGCAGCTGTCTGATATTTCTCCCCTTGGCCGGGACCCGTCCGTGTCCAGTTTCAGCAGTGCCACCCTCACCCCTTCCTCCACCTGCCCCTCTCTGGTGGATTCCAGGTGCAATTCCGTTGATCAGAAGTAAGTGTGGTGTATTCAGAGCAAAACCTCAATTTTCAGTGCTTCACAGATATCTTAACTGTTTTCTGATTTCTTTTTCCTCTTTTCTTCCTTTTCCCTGCTTTCAGATATTTCCCTGTACAGCCCCCTTGCTTTAGTTCTCCAGTCACTCTGCACAATTCTTTTTCCCCATTTTGTCCTTTTGAAGTGTTTTTTTCCCTTTGTGCTGGGGTAACAGTCAAATGCTTTTCATTCCAGTGGCCAGTGCATCTGCAGTGTGCAGGGTCCACAAGTGTTTTCAGAGTTCTGTTGAAAAGGGCTACTAATAACAACCCAGAATAAACCAGTTTGGCCATTAATCTCTGTTTATCTTTCTCAACTGTATCTGTACAAGATATTTTGAATGGAATTGGGAGTAACTATGTAGTGAAAGACATGATTTGTACCTTCTGGGTTCGATACCCCTGAGGGGAGGAGTGCTGAGGAGGTTGTACATTTTCCATCAAACCATAGTAAGAAGTATGTCTGTGTTGTGACTGTATTTAGCAGGAGAAACAAGGTAAAAGTCGTGGGGAAACAATTTATTAGCAGTTATTAAAAGTTTTATTCCCCAGAGACCAGGGGAAAATGCTATTTGGTACTGTACAAAAGGATCCCAATGTCATAAAGTAAATCCAGGCTGGAGGATGGAACTTCAGGCTGGGCTGTTGGATGCAGTTTAAATTCCATTGTCACATTCAGTTGCTTTGTTGCAATTTACTTTTTTTCTACTTCTTTTAAAGGACACCAGAAGCAAATTCTCGTGCCTCCAGTCCCTGTCATGAGGTGGAACAGTTCCAGATAATTCCTGCAGTAGAAACTTCCTATCTTGCCAGAGCTGGAAAGAATGAGTTCCTAAATCTCGTTCCTGATATTGAGGAAATCAGACCAGGGTAAGTATTTTATGGCTTTCTGAGATTTGTAGGTTCTGTGCCCCATTTGAGGAAGGAAAAGGAACAGCTTTGTCGAGCTGTAGAGTCCTCTGTGATGGATTGGGGAAAGTTCTGTTCATATTTGATCTTTGCAGCGTTTGTTCCTTGCATTTCTTAATGGACAGGTTTTCCAGTGACTCAGATGTGATGTTTTCATTATCAAACCATGGCTTTGGTTCACTGAAGCAGAGATCTCTGGGGCCCTTCTTTCTGTCAGACTTTTGTGTAGTTGTTGAGGACACAGCTCAGCCTGTTTTAGAAGAACTTTTCCAGAATGCTGCTGCAGACAGAGCATATTAAGGACCACGTGTCTTACACGGCATTTTGCAGTTAATAGGGATACTCAGGGGGAAATGTATTCCTGTTTGAATGTGGGTTTGTTTTCTGCAGCTCTGTTGTGTCCAAGAAAGGATACCTCCACTTCAAGGAGCCGCTCTCCAGCTCCTGGGCCAAGCACTTTGTGGTGGTTCGCCGTCCCTACGTTTTCATTTACAACAGTGACAAAGATCCTGTGGAAAGAGGACTCATAAACTTATCCACAGCTCAGGTGGAGTACAGTGAGGATCAGCAGGCGATGGTCAAGGTCAGTCTGAGAGCTGTTTGTTTATCCATCAAGCAGGAACAGTGCAGGTAGCAGTGCATCCATACCCTCAGGTGTGTCAGCTCTGCTCCARGGAAAATGGTGTGAGTTTGGAAACGTGGATGATCCTGCCACAGAGTTCTGTTTGTTCAGGGTTCCATATGGTTTTGTACCAGAGAGTGAACCTGAACACATCAAATTAGCTTTTGGGAGCAGGTGTTGGTACCATCACCCTGCATGCTGGAGTTTTGCAGCTTCCTCTGTATGGTTTTTTGGGCTTGTGTGTTTGATTTGTTTAAAAAAAAAAACCCACAAAGCAACACAGAAAAAAATTCCTGCAGGGAATCAAATGTCCTGGAAATCACCAGTGAAACTTAAATGAAAGACCTTAGGTCTGGTGGGTTTTAGGGATGTGACAGAGCAGAGTCTCTCAGAAGAAATGTGCATCATTGTCTGTGCTTGTAGACCCTGTATTTTAAATTGTGCTTCATGTTGCAGACACCCAACACCTT